CGCGGCTCGTATTTGTGTTTAATACTCCCAATAATAATATTCAAATTTTATTCGTTAGAATTATCAAAATAATTTTAATTATAAAAGCTGAAACTATGAAATATGATTATAGTGTCACAGAAGATGGTAGGAGTGTATGTGGGATTTGTAATAAGGTGTTCAGTAAGCCTAGTCAGTTACGGTTGCACCTCAACATTCATTATTTTGAGCGGCCATACAAATGCGAAAACTGTGCAGTTTCCTTCCGGACTAAAGGCCATTTGACGAAACACGAAAGATCCGTTTCCCATCACAATAAGGTAAACGACGAATCAACTTTATTTCCATCGAGCAACGTTATATCTTTTAGCGCGAGTGTACGAGTAGTTATTGTATTATTAGGTCAGTATGACTTCTACGTTTGGTGCAGCGACTACTAGCAATCCTAGACCTTTCAAGTGTACAGATTGTAAGGTAGCATTCAGAATACATGGACATTTGGCCAAGCATCTTCGCAGCAAGATGCATATCATGAAATTAGAATGCTTGGGCAAACTGCCGTTTGGAACGTATGCAGAGATGGAAAGGTCTGGCATCAACTTGAATGATATCGATACTACAGACTGTGATAATAGTCTTAATAGTCTGCAGGTTCGTAGTAAATAAATCATAATTACGCGTGGTTTTTAAATTTAACAAAAAAAAAACATCGCGATAAAACGAATTTTTTATCTTCGACAGATATTGGCTCAAAGATTAGGCGAAAAGGATCCGGCGAAAATCGCGCAGTGGGACTCGGAACCTCTGCCCGGACCGGTTGTGAGTGGCAGTGAGACTTCGTCAGATGAGGGTGAGCCTATACCGCAGCACGCACTTCATGCGCAATACGTGAAAGCGACAACGGACACAGACATCTCTCGACCATATCACATGTCAATCGTCCCCGAGAAACCGAAAGCCATTAATGACGTTCGCCTCCGCAGTCCTCAGTTCAATCAGCACAGACGTGATTACTCGGTTAAAGAGCAGCGACCAATTCCGGCGATTGTTTTGGAAGACACAAGGCCGGAGGACAGTTTACAATCGTACAAGTGCCAAGTTTGCCCCGTATCTATGCGTACTGTAAACGAGTTACAGGTACACTGTTTTGTTGAACATAATATTGAGACGGATTCTAGTACAAATATTCATGGAGATAGAAGTGCGGGTAAATGTAGGGAAAAAAAAGAGAATACTCAAAAAAGAATTATGGAGGAATCCGTAGTGAAGGAAGATCACAAAAGACAAAGGATAGAGGATACATAGTGCCAAAACAATATAGCGTGCTAAAAGAATTTTTCGAGTGGTGTTTGCCATACTACTTAGAGAAATCGCGGTTATAATAATGTATCATATATGGAATGCATCACAGAGATATCCTAATGAAAAAATCTCGGTCGTCTTAAAAAACTATTTCAATAGGTTATACTATTAATGATGTTTATATTTGAAAAAAAAAAACGTTTCTTGAAAATTAATGTTGCAAAAATTTAAACGAAGCGTTATTAAAAAGCTGCATGCAAATAGAAATTTATAATTTTACGTCGTTGAAATATTTCGCAAATTTCTGAATACTAACATAAAAAAATATGAATCTGGAATATATTGTCGCATAAATATGTATGTAATGAAATACACACATATTAAGTTCATTGACGACAGCGATAAATACGCGGTCTCGAGCATGTTTCTTTTATCGCAACATCATTTCTAACATTACCTGTTTATATTACAAACAAATATAATTTGATCTGTATAGTTCTCTTTAAAAGATTTTAAGCCTTTTCTTTCGATATCGGCACGTATAACGCACAAAGTGCAAAAGAAAAAGAAACGTAATTCGAGAGTATCTGATATGATTATAATATTTATATACACGATAGTGTTTCTCGTAGTAAATGAGGTGCAATGGACTAGTATGTGATTCTATATTTAAAGCACAAATGCGTTACTTTCGACATGTTGAAGAGTATTCTAATATTATAAATTAATATTATACTTTAAATTGGTATATAAAACTTATACAGACATATATATGTATATGCATATAAATACATATATATGTATATACAGATATGTGTATATATGTATATTTGTTCAAAATTAAAGTATAATAATTATGAGAATTATTGTTGACATAAGAGAAAATGTGTTTGTACATATTTATGTAAAATATAACGAGAAATCATGTTAGTTTCTATATTAGTTTTAAGAAATCAAGAAGCTGTGTCGGTTGCTCAGATTACTTGTAAATTTAAGCGCTTTTAATTCACACATTAGATTCTTTAGTTTTCATGTCTTAAAAGATTTTCTTGTAAGCAAGAATCAAATGATGAGTGTCTTAATAAGCAAGGTTGGTAAAAAACATGTTTTAAACAGTTTAAAACATGCTAAATTGATGTTTTTAATATGTTTTAAATATGTTTTTTTTATAGTACTGTTTAAAACATATTTGAAACATTAAAAATATATTTAAGAAGAAACACAATACGTTTTATTCTTAAAAAAAAAACATTAGTATTTTTACCAACCCTGTTAATAAGTTTGATTTTATCTCAAACATTGTTGAATATTTAGTTACCTTGGTATTTTGATATTACTAGAAGATACTGATATGACCTGCTCCTACTATTTTTTAAATCTTAATTGAGCATATTTGTTATGGTCTGAGGGACCGATTCACTGATTCTGTTTAAGATATAATTATGCCTCCTGTTTTCTCGCTGCAGTTCTATTGAATTGTCCACAGTGAAAATTATCCAAGACGAAAAATATCATGAATTTTTCTTGAAATGTCTTTTATGAATCTACATTTTTTATCAAACAAGTAAAAGCCTCTAAAAAAATTAATTTTTACACGAAAAATAGCTTTACATGATTTCTCGCTGGTGGCCTTATAATACGACTGCAGTGAGCGACTCGAAGAGGCCATACACCTTCCACAAGCGACAGCTACCGTATCTCATAATTAACTGTCTGTCTATTCTACGCGCAGTTTTAATATCTCAAGCACGAGAATGTCTTTCCTATTCCGCATAATCAGACTCCGGTTATCACGGTTTGTACCTAATATAGGTGTGCTTGAGCCAGGATAAAAAGAATAATACGGTAAACGTAGAACGAGACGACCGCCCAGGTATACAATGAGGTCCAGTTCGAGTGATGTTCACACTAAACGATATCAGTGTAGCGTAGTCTTAACATAGCATTTTTTTGAATGTATATCTACTGTCTGTAATTCTGTCGACTCCAACCGTAACCGTGTTAACTACGTATGAGCTTCCAGGATGTGTATGTACACAGCGTGTTGTGTGCACGCACCCCGAAATGCCAAGCCAACACAATTTGCGTTCGACCAGGATTTGTTGATAGAAACGATACGCTTTTCGGAGTCGACTTCGAAAATGGCGGTCCTTCCACGCGCGAGACGCGATATTTTCCAAAATTATACACATGTAACGCACATCTACGTATATACATATTATATACTCTTTCTCTTTCTCTCGGCTATTTGCATGCGTACTTAAATGTGATTTCGAAGGAATGTACTTTTTCCAAATTGTAGATTCATATTGCGATATATACATACACATATATATTTTCGAAACGTTGTCGTCCGTAGAAGTATATCACCTCGGTATATTTTCCCGGCGTGCACGTAGCGAGCGTGTCGTAAAATACATATCAGATTCGCCGTAATCCCGGTATATTAATCGGAAGACGGTGGACGACCGTGCGTCTCGTCGTTTGAAATCCAAATATGGCGCAGTACAAGTTAGATTTACTCACCGGGTCTTTGTGCTCCGCCCGCGGCGATGATGGACTCTTCGACGACTCCGAGCAGTCTCGAAAGTGCGCGTTCGTAACTGCGGACGATGAGAATCGTGTTCGCGTACCCCGTCCGTCGCCGAAGACGCGATTATACGCGGGAAACTCGATTCGCGACGCGGGAAACTTGGCGCTCGCGGGAGTAACGGACGCGGCGCGAATGCACACTGAAGGTAGCCGCGATTCAAATCTTCGAGCGCTAACGAGCGTTCCGAAGCGCGTCCCTGTAATGCCCGTGTCACACTACGCATTGGAGACTGAGGCCCCTTTCTACCAATATAGTTTAATTTTAATCTCAGTTTAACTAACTCTTCATTTTTTTCCAGTTCTGAGAATTAGAAAAAGATAAAGAGTAGGTTGAACTGAGATTAAAGTTAATCTACGTTGGTAGAAACGGGCCTGAGGATTGCAAATTGAGGATTAGAATTCAGCCAATTGGAACGAAACGGATTAAACTTAAAATTACCTGATTGGTCGAATTCTAATCCTTAATTCGCAATCCTCAATCTCCAATGCTCGTTTTTACCGATGTATAGTTTAACTTTAACACACTTTTGTACAGTTAAACTTGGTTTAACTCACTTTTTATCTTTTTCTAAAAAAAGGATCGAGAGTAAGTTAAACCGAGATTAAAGTTAATTAACATTGGCAAAAGTGGATGCAAAACGTTTCGTTTAAACGGCTTTGCGCTTTGATTTTCGAAACGTATAATTCGCGAAAAACTGAGAAAATTTTTCTTCATTCGTTACGAACAATCGCTGTTACATGATCAACTGATTAAATTTGGATATACATCGAAAGAGGATATCACGAAGTGATTTTGAAACGTAGCTATTAAATGCAGGGGAAATCAGTTGATCAGTTTGAAGCTTGAAAATATCCAAGTAGAACATAAAAGGTTTGTTCGCGTTGCTTGCACTTTTTCCACTCAGCCTCTTCGCTTTCTCTCTCTTCAACACCCGAATATACTTTCTACATTGAGATTCAAAATTTGATGCCCGTTTCTACTAATGTAGATTAACTTCAATCTCGACTTTGAACTTTTTCTAATTCTTAGAAAAAGATAAAAGTTAGTTGAATCGAGATTAAAATTAAACTACATTTGTAAAAACGGGCACTAGAGAGTATTTGCTTCATTTTGAGTGCAAAATTTGTAAGGATTTCAAGCAACGCGAATAAACCTAAAGTCATAGTGACATCAAAATTATTAAAAATCACTTATCCTACACAACACCCTTATCCAAGATATGTTTTCGATCACTTACAATTTATTTTAACGTCAAAATGATGACATTATTGTGACTTGTTCTGCTTGGGTAATTTCGAATCGAGACGGTCTTTTAACGGTTGTTTTTGTTTCATGCGTCGAATTTTGTTGTAAAACGAGAGAGTTGCTTCGATGATGGAGTGATAAATTCATGAACTTTTCTAAATAACTAGCGGAAGAATATAATGAGATGTGTTTGATCATAGATATATACATACATCGCTCGTCTGATTTAAAGAGCTAGAAGAATAATTCTAATTATGATCGTTAGACGTACGCACAGTTTAAATTATGGAAGAGCGACTACCGGATACAATATATATGATTAACAATAATTTTCATGTCTAAATGTGCTGTCGGTGTTTCTTCTATTTTGAGATAAAAATCGATCAGTCTTTCGCACTGAACGATCGATAATATTCTATCCTTATCTTCCCATTTCGGAACAGATTCGAATGTGCAATTTTTCACGAGCGTGCGATTAATCCGTTTTAATTGTATCTTCCTTTACCCTCGCATATTATTATATATATATACTGTACAGTCTGATAATTCGGGTAAATGTTTGTTAAGACGACTCGACATACTTTTACAATATTTACGACATTCGGTTAAGTAGTCTGTATTGTGATAAGTGCGGAAAGAACCATATGGCGAATATCCTGACTAATATCCTAAAGTAAAAGTACAAGCGTATCTGATAAAAAAAAAGAAAGAAGCAGAGACATATTTATTTTGTCGACAGCCGCGCGTCTACGATTTTCACGAAAACGGTTGGCTTGGCTTGGCTTCTTCCAGACTCAGTATTAGATTTCGCGGTATAATGAATGGGAATAGAAAGAAAAGGTCGAGCTTGTACGAGTTTCTAGATGGTTTTACACCGATTTACATTTTACGGAGACAAAAGTCGGCTACCTGGTCGCCCGAATTTTTGCGGTGTTTCCGTAGAAAAAAAAGACTCCGCTCCGCTCCATATCTTTATGGATGATTTAAATTTTGTATACGCGCAGCGTGCGAACGGTGACACTTACAAACACCTGGCGGTATAGTATTTTATATGTATTATAGGATCTTTAAGATTTTATAAATGTTTTTTCATGGGAGAGAGAGAGAGAGAGAGAGAGAAGAGACAGGTAGAGTATACCTCTTTGTGCTCGCGCAAATATGCCGTGTGCTCCTGCGAGCTCCAGTTGCGTCGACAACCATCTCTAGTTGAAGAACTTTGTTGTGAGACCTCTCGATTAAAATCATACTATATATCGAGCGTTTACGCTCGTATATATGTATATATCAGACAATGGGACCGGAGTGAAAATTTTATAAGCGTATACTTGAGAAAGTGACAACGGGATTTATGGTAATAACGCCAACTTGTTTTGCCAGTGTCACCGTCATTTCTCTTCTTCTGTGAATTCTGTTGAACTATATTGATGAGAATGTAATTTTTATTTATTGTAAATAAAAGGAACATTGCTTAAAGCATTTTGTATATTATGTAGTCTGAATCGATATGCACGAAACAAATTCTGTTAGATGGAATGTCCATCGGATCCTAATGCAAATTGTACGAAGAGAGATTCGTGATAATATGCGAATGCGTCTTCATATGGTGATCTTGCAGGAACGATAGTACAACTTTGGGCGTGGGAAATAATGTGAGACAGGAATAAAGTTAATTTCCTGTAAAATACTGCGTATTGCTTTATTAAAAATTAAATAATCCTTCTCTATATAAAATATTTATATGTAAAGAAAATTAATGCTGCTTTCCATCGTTCGTCGCTCCTGTACTTATCGTGCATCAAACACAACAACTGAAAGCAACATTATGAAATAAGATTAAGGAAAATTTTTAGAAATTCAATTTTGCTAGATTATTATATTTAAAAAATGTTAATCGTGTTAAAACAAAAACATTAAAAAACATACGTCTTTTTGTGCGCTTCTTATACATAATTCTATATCCACATTCTCTGCATCGAATTGCATCTTTGGCACGAATCTCGTTATCGTGATGACATTCTGAAATAATGAGTTAAAAACTTGATTAATGATATAAATTAGGTAAAAGAACGAAAATAGTTTTTCATTACAATTTATCTTAACTACTACATGTATCATGTTCGAGAAATTTCTCTACTTAGAAAGCGCTTTAAAATGCAATTTATCAATTTCCACAAACAATTGATACAGTTTATAAAATGCTAAAGTCTTAAAACTTTTTAAATAAACATATAAATGTGATTAATTTAATGAAAATTGGCAAGCATTGATATATTATGAGTTTCTATTTACTAAAAAGTAAGGTTAAGAAATGGTCATCACATGCGTGTTCTTACCTCCACAAATGTATACCATAGCCTGTTTCGGGGTAGATTCGGATTTACCGGATTCCATTTTAACTGTTGTGATATAATAAACTAATTAATTTTTTGGTACAGTAAATCTTTGTTAACGTAGAATGCACAACGTCTTCGTGTTGTTGTCAATGCAATTGCAAAACGACCAAATACGATGCAATTTACTCAGGAGACCGACTTTGACCGACTTGGATCGACTTACCGACTATTGAATAAGAAGATAGGAACTTTTATTTTATCGATAGATGACGTTAGTAGTTACAACTAGTCTGTTCTTTTTGGCTGAATTTCTTTGTTCTTCTTTTCTTTTTTTTTCTTCCGATATGAAAAAAAAAGAATAGATATGAACCGTACAAGAAGTTTATTTAAAAATAACAGGCCTAACAGTTTTGTTGAATCGCGTCATTTTTCAGAAAAGGCAATTAATTACGATTAGAATTAAAAACAATACAGATTATATATATATATATATATACAAATCAAAATTACACGATACATATTATCGCGCTTTCTATATGAAACGAACGATTAGATAATTCTCTATATCCGTTTTACGAGTTAAATTTTCAAAATTGTAATTAATTGAAGTTTAATTGATTGTTTAAAATTATATCTTATTTTTCCATTGATGTAAAATGGAAATAATAGGCCGTTCAAACCACCGCGCGACACGCATCGCGTCATCAGAATTCGGGAGGGCGAACGAGAGAAAACTTCCCCGGCAACAAAAGCTCCAGCATCCGGCACGGAGCAGATCGACCAATGGCGCCGCTTGGCAACGAATGGCGGGACGAGGCGTCACGCGTGATTCGTCAGTTGACGCGCGTGGCAGCGTATCGGTGGGGGAAGAAGAGGCAGAGGGTGAGAACGGACTTTACGAACGCGCGGCGTTCAATGTGTCGGTGGAACGTTGAAGCGTGTGGGTACGTCAGAATTCATAGGGAGAGCGCTGGCAAGCGGGTGCGTGCGCACGTTTCCCGCGCGCACCCCCAAGCGCCGCTCAGTGACAATTGGCCGAGGGTGCGTGACGCGTATTATGCATACGGTGTCGGAAGAACGAGGTGTGTGTTGGTCACGCAAAAATCGTGCGAAGCATTGTTAAAATCGTGGATTTCCTCGCGAGAAAATCGACTGCGGTGAAAGGATCGGAACGAGCTGGTCTCTTCTTTGTGAAGCGCCTCTTGTCGTGAACGCTGGAGGGGTGGACTTTCTCCGTGCGCTCGTGATCCGCGTGACCGTCGCCGCTATTCGAAGCGGCAAAAGGGTGAGTGGTTATGAAGAGGGGGGGGGAAAAGGAAAGTAGCGGACATGAGGCGCGCGCGTTTCCCGCGCGATGCACGTGAGTACAGTGCGAAGTGAGGCGAGTGACAACACGAGCGGGGAAACGTCAAGTGCCGCGCGACAGAAACCGCGTTCGCCGCAACTTCACGACGTACATCGGTACGTCGACGCGATTTCGGGAAAACGGTTACCGCCGCGGAATGACATTCGTGCGATTCGACGTGATGAAGGATCTTCGAGCGAGACGATGACGCGTTACGAGGACGAACTCTTCGTCTCCTTGTCCCGCGTGGCGTAAACAGATTCGTGAATGTGTGAGCTGAAAATCCAAAACGGCTCCGTTTCGTGCGTCGTTAAATATGTGGCGGCCGTTGTCTGTTGATTTCTCACTGATTTACTTATCGCGTTAAAGTGCGTCGTTTCACACGGTCGAGATTTAATGAAGATTATCGTTAAACCTTAAAAGAGTCCGTAAATACGTGTTTATATACCTGCTTGGTGGACACTAGCAGAAGCGTGATTATCTTATCTCTACGGTAAACGGAAGGCGAAAGTGAAGTGATCCATTTAGAAAAGATCATCGAAGTTAATAGACTCGGATAACAGCTATTTATTTGCCGATAGGTTCGTACAAACAAACTGTTTAAATGTAATGTAATGTACTCTCTACATTTTTTGGAGTAAAATTCACCCTCAAGAGTGAAAATTCAGTTAGTCTTGAAAAAGAGTGATTTTACTCTTCAGAGTGAGATTTACTCTAAAAACTTTAGAGAGTAATGCAATGTAATGTAATGTAACGTAATGTAATATTGGTTAATTTAGGATACATAGAAGCCTACAGATTTTTTTATCTTCGATGGTGGTGCAAGCACCATTCAACATGCCACATTGGGTGCACCGTTCGCGTAACGTCCAGCTGGAGGCGAGATAGTCCGTACCGGAAGTCCAAGCGTCCAAATTTGCCAGAGATAGTCTTTAAAGTCAGTCGAATGAACGACGTCCTGAGCATGATGGAGGACGTCGACAGCATGCACGTCAAGACGCCGTGCGTCTCCATCAACAGCATCTCCCACGACAGTGTCGACAGTGGCTACCTGTCCATTGTAACGCCGCAGACCAGCGGCTGCACCCCTAAGATAGCCGGTTATCGAACGCGTTCGTCTACCGGCGCGTTGTTCTCCGCCAAGAAGCACAGGTACCGCCCGGATCCCATCCTGTGCGAGAAGGTGCTGAGGCACCGTTCCAAATTTAATTATCGTCTAAACACCTCCGAGTTCCACAACATTTCGGATTATCTCGTATCTGAGAACCCCGTCGAGCAGGACTCGGTACTGGAATCGTCGTGCACGCACGATAACCAGAGTCTCAGCCTGGTGCATTCTACCCCAAGCTGTGCCAACAATGAATTCGACAGGCCGCTCAGGAACAAAAGGAACTGGAGGACCACGGTGCCCGTCACCCCCGCGTCCACGGATTTCCAAATTCTCTCGCCACCCCCGTCGCCGGCGGTACCCTCCTCATCCGATGTAGCCTCGGAGCCCATTTTGGAGGATGCGGAAATGAAGCTAGTCTGTACGCCGCGTGGCAAATCGCAACGGGTCACGACACCGCCGAAACTCAAAGTTTTGATCCCGCGAATCGTGATCTCGCCGATTCATACGAGGAGCACCCCCGTTATAACGTCAGCGGATAATCGTAAGTTGTGCGAACTGCGTATCACGGATTTGACTGCCTCGTCCGAGATTAAGCCCAAGAAGCTTGACTTCAGTCATCGCGGTCTATATGCGTCGCTGCGGAATAGCCGAAGACTTACTTTTGACTATACGGGTAGAGACAAGGTGGATTTCCTATCTCTTCTTGGAGAAGAGAGCAATCACTTGAATTTAGTGTCGAAAATCCTATCTTTTCTCACGCCTCAAGATCTGTGCTCGGTCAGTATGGTATCCAAAGTGTGGAGGAAGATCTGCAAAAGTGACTCGTGTGCCAATAAGCGAAAACTGAGTTTTATCATGCGTAAGAACACCATCAAGGAGAACTTGCGGCTGTTGGTAATGGCGAAGAAGGCGAAGCGCGAAGAGGATATACAGACGAGTCCTAGGAGCAGACGTTACGTTCGGAAAGGATATTTGCTGGATGTACAAAACTTACTGCAAGTTCCAACACAGCCGAATAGTCCACCTGTATCACCGAGCAAAATTAAGTTTCATTCCTTCGTCAAGGTAAGCAAATTAATTTCTCGTGCCATATACTTGAGTATGTTATGATGAAATGGGACAAATCATGATTAACAAATAAGAAATAATTTTTTTACTATAGTATTTCATGTCTTAACGCTGTAGGTGATATGATGCGTTTATCTATTGGACCCACTCAATTATAATGTAAATCTCTGTCACAAATGTCTAACGATTCAATTTTCTTTACATCTGCAAATTTGAATTATTTTTAAGCTTTTTTACATGAATTATATTTTACGAGTTTAGTTCCTTGGAATTAATTAGTACTTTTAACCCTCCGTCTGCAATTATATTTATACTCTCTTCGTTCGATCCAAGTTTTTTATTGTTCTAGGCTTTCAAAAAATGTGAAAATATTCAGAATTACTTTTCATCATTTCTATTACATTACAAGTAGTTTTTTAACAAGAATTTTAGGAGAAAAAACCAGGAAATTTGAGAGTGAAATTTTGCTTGTATTAAAAAATAGCCAGGTTGTAGACAAAAGATTAATTAATAAAAATTACAAAGATCTTACAAATCTAGCGTCAGTAAACGTCTGTCTTACAGAGTTTAGCGTCAGCTTCGAGGGTTTAATAGGATGTTATTTTATTTTCAAAGAAATATATAGCGATTCATATATATAATCGAATGTCTATACATTTGTATGTTAGAAATTACGATGTTCGAAGGAATGACCGAATTTATAGAAACGCACTCGTGAGAAAACTCACGACAAAGTCAATGACTGATGCGAAATGTCGCATCTTTAGAAGAATTCGCGACATTTCTCAGGGTTCTCGTATTCGACACCCGCGGGAGTCTATCATTTCACCGAGAGTCGTGTTCATCTCGTTTATCTCGTAACAGTCAGATAATTCGGCGCCCAACAAGACATGGGCATTTCTTCTTTGATGCGATACTTACATATCTTTCGCCCATAATTGAATAATGATAATCTACAATGGTTCATGATATGCGAACAGAAAAATGATTGTTTCGTTGAGAATTCAGTCAATTTTGACAGCACTACGTTAGCAGTTTTTGATCTAGGTATAATATACTGAGAATGTATTAATTTGTTCGCCAATTTGAATGCGATTATCTATTATTTATTGAAAGTGAACACAGCACTTTTAACATTTACACTTTGAGAGTAACATGTTTATCCTTAGTCTTTTATCTATACATAGTTTTTTACTAAGGAAGAGAAAAATATGAGGAGGAAAAATATTAAGAATATTATCAATTTTTTTAATACTCTGAATATATTTTGCACACATCGATTTTTAATACAATATTATGAAAACCAATGAAAATATATATGTGTAACATTTTTAAAGCTAATTCAACGTATGATAATTATTATGCATTAAACTGTAATTACGATGTAATTATTATCTTAAGCAATTGAACGGTTTCTTACAATTTAATTTGATTTCACATTTTGTTTTTACAAACTACTAATGTTTCATTTCTATACACGATGCATTCAAAATCGAGCAGGCAATGCGCGATATTTAGTTTCGGTAGCCAATACAATCTATATATTATTTATTATTTTGTAAATATTCATTATTTTCGTAATATGTACATATAATTAATTAATAATCATCTCTACACAGTCGATCGTTCCGTTAAAGTCTGTTATACTGCTCAGAGCACACGGCATGTCGTGATTTAAATGTTAGAGCACATAATAGACAACGTCGGCCGATTGTTGAGTCGTTTCTGAAAATTAATTAAAATTGTCATACTCAAGTGCGCGATTACATTGACGAGGACTTTTCATAAACGACTATAAGTCACAATAGACACAGTGAGCTTCAAACCGTAAAAATTCAACTAATTATAGTTGATTATTCTTCTCATATTTGACTGTGATTGGCCAATATCTTACGGTTTAAAGCTTACACCTGTTGTGTTTCAAGACTAAACTACACAACAGTCTACTAACACTTTGTTTATCGTGTGCTTTTGCCCTTGCACATTGCGTCAGGCATGTCGAAACTCATAATTAAAGATGCTGGCTCGTTTCTCTTCGTTCGTAGACTGTTCTTCGTCGTTTTGGCGCTCGTAATTCTCGCGAGAACAGAAACACGACGGCTAATTACCAGCCAGCGATAATCGATAGCCCGGTAGTCTCAAGATTTCTTCGACTAAATTGGCATTCGCATAGTTCGCGCGCACAAAATCGAATCGCGGTCAGGTAATTGTTTCGATTGTGAGATCATTACTTTGACGTTGATTTATTGTCGTTTTGGCTTTGAGCCGCCGCGAAGGATAATTGCTTCGTGGGTCGTTAAGGCTCGAGATAAGCGAGATCCGTCGACGGTGTGCAAAATTTGACGGATGTTTCTGAATGATGAGATTCTGCGTGTTTTGCATAATTTCATCTCGTACATAGCAATTGAAATCTATCTCACGATATTCGCAATTACGTTTCAGGGCAATCGGAAATTGTTGCATTTAATTAGTCATGTGTTTTATATAATTCAGGAGGTAATACACATTTGTAACATTGTTATCGTTAGATATAATTACTTTTTTTTTTAGTAACAAAGATTTTTTTTAGTAACGCTACATCAGAGGTTACATTTGTAACGTTAATGGTAACGCAGTTAGATTTTTGAGTAACAACAGAATAGACTTTACTTTTATCGTTACTTTGTATACGTACAAGGCATGTGTATTATAAACGTGTTTTTTTTACTATGTAGCAATTAATCATAACCAGTATAGATCTCGTGTTGAACTATCAATTTGCAACATAGATAATTGGATGCCATTTTAAAAAAGGTTATGTAAAAATGTAACAACTTATTTTTTTTTGTAATTGTGCTAATTAAAAAACTAAATAACGCAATATCAAATTCTTAGACTTAATATAATGGACAATAAAAAATTTCTTTTTTAAATAAATCATTATAAAAATATATCAATTTATATTTTTACGATATACATTACGCATTTTTTAATATATTGAAGAAATCATAAAATGGACCAGAGTGATGTAAACATTTCCTTTATATTCTAAATCCAAGAATTTTCTCGTAAAACATGAATGATTCTCGTAATTCCAAGGAATTACGACATGCGCTCTGACTTTATGTAACGTTTATGAATATTTTACGGTATATTGTGTCATTTCCGCACAAATAGCTCCTATTACATTGCCGCGGTTCCGTTGGACGTCCATAAACTTGAACGCGAGCTTCGAGCAAAGCGGTGAAGCAAACGCGATGATTTACTCGCGAAAATCAGTCAGACGACGGCGTGAAGAATCTGTGACAGTGATGTACGTGCTTTCTCGTTCCCGTCGTCGATGAGGCTACCTGCCGTTCTCCGACACTACTCTCTCTTTCTTTCTCTTGTCGAACGAGCGACGCATTCCTCCTCGCGTTAGATTGTAATAGCGGATGCAAGTGGCATACCTCAAGTTCCTTTGTTGTCCGCGCGAAACGATAGCGAGGCATGTGTTCGCGCTCGTGTCAAAGCCAATGCCGACTATATTCGTATTGCTATTCTTTATCACCGTGAAATGCACGATAACGATGAAACGCGGCATTGTCGCATGCATATTGCATCTAGCTCGTGAGACAATAGATTGCGAAAGCTCGTTACCAAACGAATATTAAGATGAATGTATTAGTCAAAATGATCGTCTTAAAACATCATCATAAATATAGACCTAAGATTTTAAATCGTCATAAAATTAGGTTCTAAAATTTCATCATTAAAGTACCGTTTAAAAGTAATATAAATACATCATCGGATTTGCATTTGAAACTTCTTATATTTAATGTTGGATTGTAAATAGCTGAAACTATAAATGATTTTGTATTTTATTTTTCTGGTTCACTATTAGTTAAGTAATATGTTATCAGAGAAGAAAACGACAATGATTGAGTTTTTAAGAGATCGCGTGGGAAAGATGACGAAAAGAAATGGCGATTTAAAAGGTATAGTTGGATTGTAAATAAATTTGGATCGCGACGCGTTGCAAAGAAAAATCGACGTTAACGTTCGCAAACGAATATGCAATGTTGTATTTTAATGCTCTCTACCAAAATCGAGTCTGGCAGATAATATATCAGAGCGAGGTCCCCGTCTCTCCTTGTGCACATCCAGAGAGAGCCGCGCCAGCACTCGTTTCTTCTTTGGATCGCGAATCGGCCTGCGGCAAAAACCGGCCACAGAGAGAACAATGCGAATATATTGTGGTACCTGACACTAAAACAAAGGGCGGGCAGAGGCCTTTAGTCTTTTACGACAATTGTACGCGAATGCCAAACCACAAGCGTGCAATGCGAATAAAAAAAAAGACGAGACGTCCGAACCGCAAAGCTTAAAGAATTATTCTGCTATGCAGAAAGAAAAATATTAACTATCACTTGCATGCAGTGCCATTAAATTTGGAATTTTATATAAAATATTATAGACTATATTTTGACGGCTAATAATCTTTCGTTTCATTTAAATGTCGTATCTTTAAATTGCAAATTTAAAAAAAAATTACGATGAATTTTTTAAAGGAAATTGTACTGTTATGATATTAGGTTTCGAGTAGATTTGCGAATAAAGAAATCCGAGCTCGGTTTGGTTTCACCGATCCCTCACGTTTCTTTGATGACTTTGGCGCTCTTAGCGTCTCAGACAGCCTTGCGGGATGCCGTAGAAAGTTCGTGGTGAGATACAGTGCGATCGTTCATGAGAATGAATGTGCGAACATCCCTCCCTTGATCGTTTCTGTCAGCGATGCATTACTACATGTAACGCATGCACGCATGACTAAAACCATGGTAAAGTCGCAATTACTCATTCAATCTCGTTAAAACTAAAACATTCATCTTTGGAAATTTGGATACTTTCTTTTAATTTATATTTAATGATTGTTATGAATTAAAACGTCACTCTTTATTTTTAATAAAAAAATATTCTATATATCTCTTTTTAAAAGTATCTGAAATCGAGTTACCGAAATTTTGAACCCTCTTGAACAA